TCACTGGGAACAAGGCCCAAATAAGTCATGCAAATCTAGTGGGCACTGTCTGGATCTAGGCCCAAGGTTTTTGGGTTTTTTCAGCTTAGAGATGGTCCTACTACAAAGCAAAGCAAGGCAGGTAGATTTTGAGCACTGTTAGGGATTACAAAGTATGTGCGAGAGCAAAATCCATGGAATAAAACTAGCAAATGCCCCATTGAGATGCACAGAAGCTGAACAAGGACACTCCCTATTTGCCATCTCAACACCAAGACATCACAGATGATCCAGTTTCTGCTCTCACAAAAGATAATTAGGAAAAACTGTCAAATCTGCAGATTAAGCCCTGCATGTATCTGCCTGGCTTTTACATCGAAAACGCTCAGATCTAAGAAGACAATCTTTTGTAATTAGCTAAGGCCACTATAATCCATAAAAAAACATCTGATCACATTGATTTTCAGTCAATCAGGCTCTATCAGTCAACTGCAATCCTAGAGATCATATGAAAGGTTTTACACAGACCTGGCTTTGCTCATAAAGGTCATTTAAAGTTTCCTTTGGCTCCTGTGCACAGAATCGCTATCTGAGACCAACAACCATGGGTTCCAATTAAAAGAGAGAGGAAGAGAGAAAGAGCTACCTAAACTCAGAACAGAGTCAAAGGATGCTTCTGCATTTGAAGTCTTGACAAAAAGAGGTCCCTAACACTGTGATGGGAAATTGGCTGCAGAGAAAGGAAGGAAGGAAACTATGTTAGGAATAAAACAGAATGGCTAACGCTCGAATTTGGATGTCCTGCCTTGTCAAAGCATGCCAAGATTGAGATTCTGCCTTTATATAGATGTACACATTTGGAGGGAGGGTATAGAAAAGCAGAGGAGCATCCCAGCTATTTGGGAAGTTAAGAGTTAAACCGATGTAATATTAATCTGTTTTAACATTTTAGCTTTCGTATTTTTCAAAGTACGGCTGTGAATTTTTCTTGAATTTTTCATATTACCTTTTTGGCAAAGCGTGTTCTCCTTCATGGAGAGCACATGTTGCGGTGGGGGCCGCCAGGACACTCCAAAGTTGGGGGCGGGCTAATTGTTCGTTGGCCACTGATGCGATTGGGGCTTCCCTTGTTGTTGGGAAGAAGTTAATGTTGCCATTTGTTGATTGACAGCCAGAAATGGTAAAACTCCTTGCACGAGGCTAGGGCTTCCTCTTTTCGACCGTGCATCGGATTGCCCGTCCCCCCCTCCCTAGAATTAGGGTTGTTCGCTTTGACCTTGCTATGCCTGTCATGGGGTCGTCTGCTCTTGGGGCAGGGGCCTGGTAGGAATTTTGTCCATCTGGCTGATTGGCTGGGGCCATTTGGTTTTTGCCTACTGCGTAGCAAATCGTCACAACTTGTAAGGTTGCGGTTAGGCATTGGTTTATGGTTTGGTTGGTTGAGGGAAGTGGTTGAGTGCCTGCCCTTGGTAGGTTGAGTGCCTGCCCCTCTAATGCTGCTGCTGCAAGGGATTCCGTTAAAGGAATTGGGGGCTAACTGTTGCTTGTCCACTCTGTCAAGGGGGCTCGGGCCATAGCAATGAGCTCCTGGTTGCATTTGGGGTGAGGGCAGGTTCCCTGCTCCGCGTAACCCCCAAGTGTATTCCCCTATTCTGACTTTCGCATCATGTGGAATGTCAGTCTGTCCCCCATAGTGGGGGCAGATAGTCGCAACCAATGCCTAAGCAACCACTCACAAATTTGTATTTCAATAAAGTTGTGGCCAAAATTATGCCAAAAATCTTAAACAAAAAATTCTGTGTGATGTGTGAGTTATTGGGGTGGCCCTGGGGACCTCAACACGCAAACTGCTTTTGATGATGATGATTATTACAATCAAGCAGTGTACAGTGGTACCTCAGGTTAAGTACTTAATTTGTTCCGGAGGTGCGTTCTTAACCCGAAACTGTTCTTAACCGGAAGCACCACTTTAGCTAAAGGGGCCTCCTGCTGCAGCCGCACTGCCGGAGCACAATTTCTGTTCTCATCCTGAAGCAAAGTTTTTAACACAAGGTATTATTTCTGGGTTAGTGGAGTCTGTAACCTGAAGCGTATGTAACCTGAAGTGTATGTAATCCGAGGTACCACTGTATGCATTTTATGAAATAAAGAAAAGAAAAGAAATTACAGAAAATCATATTGATCCACATAAGGACCTATAATGAACCCTGCTGAAACATCCCATACATACCAGCATCCTGTTCTCATATGAGTGCCCAAGCAGTCATCAGCCAAGGAAGCCTGTGAGCAGGACTTGACTGCAAGAACCCCCCCCCCATACTGCCTCTGATATTAGTTCAGGAGGTGAAAATCAGGTCAGTTTGGATGGAATAAATTTCTTCTCATCTCCAAGTTGTTGTGTCCTTTTAGCAGTATACCATGGGATCTATATTGAATAGAGGTGCCACTGACGTTTAATGGATCATGTTATCAGACCTTCCAAGTGTCCCTATTTCCAGGGGTGATCCTGGATTTACAGAAGCCATCCTGGTTTCTGATTTGATCCCAAAATGTCCCCCTTTTCCTTAGGACGTCTCTATTTTCATCAGAGAAATGTTGGAGGGTATGGAATAGGACACCCCTATTTCCATGAGAGAAATGTTGGTGGGTATGAGTGCTCACTGGCAAGACAGATCCTGAAGCTGAGGCTCCAATACTTTGTCCACCTCATGAGAAGAGAAGACTCCCCGGAAAAGACCCTGTTGCTGGGAAAGATTGAGGGCACAAGGAGAAGGGGACGACAGAGGACGAGATGGTTGAACAGTGTTCTTGAAGCTACTAACATGAATTTGACCAAACTGTGGGAGGCAGTGAAAGACAGGAGTGCCTGGCATGCTCTGGTCCATGGGGTGACGAAGAGTCGGACACAACTAAACGACTAAACAGCAACATAGAATAGGATGCCTCTATTTTCATGAGAGAAATGTTGGAGGGTATGTGTTATTATACAGGTGTGGTCTGGTTGTGATGACACAGTATGGAACTAGCAAATCAGGTTGATGCACTGTTGACATGAGCAACATCAGCTCTGTCACAGAGAGGGAAGTCCCACCAGCTTAATCTTCTGCTTTCACCAGCGTGAGAGCAGTGGTACAGCTGATCGGCACCGGTCAGCCTGTCTGCCTTTACCCAACTCAACAGTGTTGTAGCACGAACATGTCGAAGGAGCACCCCCACAGCAGCACAGTAACATTTAGAGGGCACCCATGGCGACAGTAAGTTTGACGGGACTCTGATTAGCTAAGCAGTATAAAGAATAGCCATGGTTTATCATGCTAACCTGTAAATATTAAAAGAATCAAGTGGTTGCTAAATCACATCTTTACTTGGTGACAACGTTGCCTCCTGAAAGCTTGCAGAAAGAATGGGGTGCTGGAAAGGGAAGAAGGGGCTCAGATCCGCTAAGCTGTATCCCAGGCGACAACAGAAAGTGCTTAACTTGAGCATGGAAGTAATTATATTAAAGAAGGCATTAAATGCTTGTTTGAACCGAGGTTGTCAAGGACTCGGGGTGAGTTTGCCTTTGTAAGAAAAGGTTGCTTGCTTCATTAAAACTGGAATCCTGGCTTTACCCTTGATTTGTTCCTTTTGCAGTTTCATGCTTTCATCCTCTTTTTCTGTATTTAATTCAAAGAGCTTTAACCCATTCAGAAAGCAAGAGAGGGTCTGGAATTGTCCAAACCGGGACATGCAGGACAGTTGCTTAACAGAGGCCTGCAAACCCAGAATTGATTCAGGAAAAGGAAAGAAAGAAAGACCTAAGAACCAGATAGGCGGTTGTGGAATGAACAGGTAGACTTGGGTGTATATTTAGCAAGGATGATACAAGATTCCAAAAGGGGATCGAGCGCTAATCTCCCCACTCTAAACATTTCCGTCAAAGTGGGTCAGGCTCAAAATGGAACTTCGAAAACATCTCCACCTGCACTCTGTTGGGCCCCCACCTTTGCCTCCACCAATTAAAAAGAAACAAAAATAAAGGGCTGGATTTAGCTAACCTAGTGGACTAGCAGAAGCCAGTGGCAGGACTCCCAACCAGCACAATGGAGCTTTCCCCCTTCTCTTCCCCTATGCCTTTTCTCATAGGCTTGCCAAGTTGTTGAGGTATTTTTTAGCTTTGCCCAATTTTTTTGAGCTTTCCTTGGTGAAATCACAAACACAGAAATGTAGGTTTCGAGCTATTTTTTATGAGAAATTAGCAAAAACGTTTATGCCAAAATGGGTTGCCATACATCCAGATTCTCCCAGACATTTTCGCCTGGATACTGATGCAGACAGCAGTATGCTGGATATGTCCGGGAAATTCCGGGCTTAGGGCAACCATATGATTCACACGAAGCACTATGGCTGTGCTATGGCTCTTGATGGCAAAGTAAAGCAATCTATTTCTTATTGTGTCCCATCTGGTTAACCACGAAGACCAATAGAAATAGCCTTAGTTAAGGCTGATGGGAGTTGTAGTCCTAAACATCTAGAAGACACCAGGCTGGGGGAGTCTGTTCTAACCAGTACAATACTACACTGGTTCTCAGTGTGTAGAAAGGTTGATGTTTAATAGGGATGCCATGCGGAATTGATGTCCGGGGCAATTTCTGAAAGCGATGCTTAGGAAAGTCAATTGGAAAATCTTGGTTTTTTTGGCGTTTTTGTATTGCAACCCTATAAGAACATAACAAGAGCCTGCTGGATCAGGCCAGTGACCCATCTAGTCCAGTATCCTGTTCTTACAGTAACCAACCAGATGCACGTAGATCCTTAAGCAGGATCTGAGCACAAGAGCAGTCTACATTCCTGTGGTTTCCAGCAACCAGAATTCAGAAGCATTGCTACTTCAGATGCAGAGAATTCGTCTAATCCTCCTTTAAAGCTATCCGGATTGGTAGCCAAGACGGGTTCCTGCTGGAGCATTTTTTTCCATGTCCCTTGACAGTACGGCTGAGTGCAATTGAAGCTCCTTGAAATAACCCTTCTTTAAGGTGGCAGCTGGGATAGCTCTGTCAGTAGAACATGAGACTCTCAATCTTAGGGTCATGGGTTTGACCCCCACATTGGGCAAAAGAGTCCTACATTGCAGGGGTTGGTCGAGATGACCCTCATAACCCCTTCCAACTCTATGATTTTATCATGGGCAATACTTCAGGGCTTACCTCCATACCCAGTTTCACACACCAGTGATGCATCATGGAATTGTAGAGTTGGAAGGGACCTTGAGAATCATCTAGTCCAACCAATGCAGGAATCCTGCCCACAGCTGCCCCTGGGTGGGCTTGAACCACCAACCTTCTGGTTAACAAACAGATACATTGGCCCATTGTGCCACAGGTTGAGACAATTATAGGTTAGCTGTCTCTCTTTCCCTTGTTGTTGTTTAGTCGTTTAGTGGTGTCCGACTCTTCGTGACCCCATGGACCAGAGCATGCCAGGCACTCCTGTCTTCCAATGCCTCCTGCAGTTTGGTCAAACTCATGTTCGTAGCTTCGAGAACGCTGTCCAACCATCTCTTCCTCTGTCATCCCCTTCTCCTTGTGCCCTCCATCTTTCCCAACATCAGGGTCTTTTCCAGGGAATCTTCTCTTCTCATAAGGTGGCCAAAGTATTGGAGCCTCAGCTTCATGATCTGTCCTTCCGGTGAGCACTCAGGGCGGATTTCCTTCAGAATGGATAGGTTTGATTTTCTTGCAGTCCATGGGACTCTCAAGAGTCTCCTCCAGCACCATAATTCAAAATTCTCTTTCCTTAGCCGAGCCTTATACTTGTTTCCATTTGTATACCCCCCCCAAAAAAAATTAACTTCAGCTCTGCCTTCTACTAATTTCCTAATGGAGTCTCTCTTTTTCACCTCTCCTCCAAATTAACTGCAGCGGTCACATTTTCTCCCCCCGGTGGCAAATAGTGCTTTGAGAAAGAAGTTCCTTGGATTATGACAGATCAATATCTCTGCAGCCCAACCACCAAAGTGCCCCAAACCAATGCTAATTGAGATCCCAACTTACACGATGCAGATCAGAGAGGAGCTGGGAAATCCATCAAAACAGATGAAAATGAAATATATATCCCCGAGGACTCTCTGGCGCTTTTTTTTTCTCTTTCCTTCCTGGTGTCTGAGTTTGTAGTGCTGCATAATGAAGGAAAAAGCTTCGCTGGCCATTGTTAATTGCAAAGGAGAGGGTTTTTTGGAATGCAGGTTCTGTACCACCAGGAAAAAGAAAAGTCAGAGTGCGATAAATCATTTGGAATACATATTTCATCTGTGTTGATTAATGCAACTGGTGTCACTGAGCAACCCTACGATGCAACGGATCAGATAGACAGGCCCTGCTCTGTTCTCTCCATACTTCAGGGAGGGCTACAGATGGAGACAGATGTTTACTAAACCTGAATCTATAACCCTGGTTTTGTTTGACATGCTGAAGTATGCATACCATTTCTAAAAACTGGATAATGATACTTTCTTAGGGAGCAAAATGGTCCTAGAAGAAGCTCTGTCACTCCTGAGAAAGTTTCTACTGTGATCCTAATCCTTAGGCTGTGATCCTAATCCTTATGTGAGGGTAAGCCCCACTGAATTCAGTAGAGCTTGCTTGCTTTTAGAGGGATGTGGTTGGTGCTGTGGTCTAAACCACTGAGCCTCCTGGGCTTGCTGATCAGAAAGCTGGAGGTTCGATTCCCCACTACGGGGTGAGCTCCCGTTGCTCTGTCCCAGCTCCTGCCAACCTAGCAGTCCAAAAGCAGATAAATAGGTACTGCTGTGGCAGGAAGGTAAACGGCATTTCCATGCGCTCTGGCACTCGTTACAGTCCTCCGTATGCCAGAACGATTTAGTCATGCTGGCCACATGACCCAGAAAAGCTGCCTGTGGACAAACGCCGGCTCTCTTGACCTGAAAGCGAGATGAGTGCCGCAACCCTAGAGTCGCCTTTGACTGGAGTCCTTTACCTTCCCTTTTTAACCTGCTGGCTTTTGGGTTTCACATATGTATCTGTCTGGTTGGCCACTGTGAAAACAGGATATCATACCCTCCAAGATTCCTCAGATGAAAATAGGGACATTTCTCATTCCCCCCACAACTGACCCTCCTCAACTGCCCCCCCATTTCTACACACAAACACACCCGAGCATTTGCTATCACACACCCTCCACCATCTTGAGAAAAACCCTTTAATCCCGATTTTATTTTTTTTATTATTTGACAGATTTACAAAAAGAAAAAACACACACCAATAAAAAAACTTTAGAAAGGGGCAAGATCAGACACAGACACAGAAAGCATTTTTTAAAAAAATAAATAAAATAAAGAATAAAGACTCCTTATGTTTCGCTTCCCCTTTCTTCCTGCCCCTCAGAGCCGGCACGTCACACAGGGCTGGGTCTCAGCAGCAGTGTGCTGGGCCCAGAGGTTAACCCAAGCAACGTGGTCTAGGTCTGGTCCCGAATCCAAGGATTCTGTGAGGAGTCAGTCCAACAGGGCCAAGGCAGGAAACTGGTCAGGCGCAAGGTCTCAGGCAGGTTCTGGCAAACAGCAACATTGCTCCCACAACCTGGAGCAGGGTCCAGCAGCCTTTTATCTCTGATGGGGTAATGGCCGGTCCTGATCCCCCTGTGACTCACCTCCCTGTCTTGCCCAAAGGTGAGCACTCCTCCTGTGAGTACTCAGGTCTCTCCTTCTCTCAGACCTCAGTCTCTGCAGCTCGGGAGATGTCGGTGGGTTACTAGACCCAGGGGCCGCCTCAGCCTCTCCTGACCTAACTGGTAGTGGAGCAGCTGTAAGCGATGGCCCAGCTGAACGCAATGAGGTCATCCCCGCATCTGGAGCCAGGGCAGGCTCAGGTCCCTGACTCGGCCCAGGTGATGTTTGTTGCAGGGGAACCTGTACAGACTGGGGCTCTTCAGAATCAGGCCCCAGACTCAGTTCAGATGCTGCCTGAGGCACAGGATCCAGTGCGGACTGTGACTCCTCTGGCTCCGAGTCCCAGGCCATCACAGGCAGCAGACTCCCCTCCTTCTCCTCACCTGCTTTCTAGCAGCCACTAGGAGCTGCCCAAGGGACGAGGCTGGCAGCGGCAGCCATGGAGAGTCTATGGAGAGGCAACAGGATGGCTCTTCGCAGCCGCCATTGACATAATTGCTCAGGACAATCCCCTGTTTATCCTCCTCCCTGAGCTTGAAGCGGCAGCACTGGCAAGGGAAATAGGGGCATTCCAGGATCCAATCAGAAGCAGGGATGGCTTTTGTAATGCCGACACTGTCCCTGGAAAACAAGGACACTTGGGGGGGGGTGCAGGATGCTGGACTAGATGGGCCACTGCCCTGATCCTGCAGGCACTTCTCATGCTCTTACTACTTAGCTAGGACTATACTGTAAACTACGTAGCTGAATCATAGTTGGCGCGGGGGGGATAAAGCATCCAAATTTTACTGGAATGTAATCAGACTTTGGAGGGATTCTGCAAAGGACGTGAATGGAACCCACAGTGCCATTAGCACTGGGGGGGAAATTAGATCTAGATAGCGCAGGATAGTGCACACCCCGGAAATGATCTCTTTCGGCTTCTGCCTTCTGAAAGAAGGTACAGGGTTATAAAGACTAGGACTAGCCGCCTGAGAAACAGTTTCTATTCAAATGCAATTTTGGTTTTAAACGCAGTGTAAGGAGTCTCTGTGGGAGTATATTGTATTTTAAAAATGGGGTATCAGAGTTTTTAGGGGGCTAACCAGGTTGGGATAGGTGGGATAGCAGGCTTGTTGGTTTTGAATGTCTTATGTAGATTTTTTTTTTTTCAATTTTGTTGTTCTGTATGGGACAATGACAATAAAGATTAACTTATCGTATCATATTAGTGTTTAAATGTGTCAAGGTTCAGGGAATCCTTTCCCTTCCCCGGTGGTGGCAAAAAAAAAGCAGGTAACAAGAAGAGTCCTTACCCTGTAATTGATTCAGGATCTACAGAGAGGGACAAAGGAATATAGCCCCTATTAATTAATGGCGTTGTTGCAAGTAATCTCCTTGTTTTTGCAGTGTCCCCCCCTTCTACGGTGGCTGGGTAAGGCCCTTTGTCTGCTCGCTTTCTGCTCTTCCACTTTCGCAGCCCTCCTGCTTCTAGGAGAAGGGGGGTCGGGAATGCTTTCTAGTGAGATAACATATCATCCAGCTGTTCTGGCTCTGCTGTTTTCCCCTCCACCCCTTCCATTATCTCCCAGCTCTGTCCTTCTTCTGTCTCAGAGTCTTGACCTTCTGCAAACCACTCCTGCAAATCTATACTGTCCTCCTCTTCTCCAGTTATTTTATTTGGCTTTTACCTCTAAATGGAAGGATCTGCTGCTTCTGGTGGCGGTGTGTGGCTTCGGCAATAGAGCGCGTTTGGAGCCGTGAGCGGACTCAAGCCCCTTCCCTTTCCCCCACATGCAAAACAGCAGACGGGAGATTTGGGGGGTGAGTTTCCTCACTACTGCTGGACCCCTGGGACCCCCACTCCTCCGTGGGGGGGTTCTCGGGGGAGCGCTCAGCCCTGGCGGTCACCCCCAAGCTCTAATTACCTGAACTGTGTCGCCCCTTAAGCGGACGGCACGGAGCTCGCCGCCATAGTCTCCGCAGCCGACTGGAAGTCTACCTATCCTCCTCTTCTCAAGAAGGTTCAGGAGGAGGGTGGCGGCGGCCTCTACCATTCCTTTTCAGTCTAGTGTCAGGAATGTCTCTTTCCAGAGCGACAGCAAGGACTCCGAAGAGGAGGGGTGGCAGGCTGGGGAAAACAGAGGCTTACTTCCTTCCCACACTGACAGTGATGCAAGCCCCTCCCATCCTGGAATGCAGGCTATAAATTTCCAAGATAGCATAGGGCAGACAGAGACAGGTTCAGAGGAACTGCAGCCTTTAGACATCTCTCTGAGGGGGGTGGAGGGGGATAGGCAAACTGCCCCCGAGTTCCCACAGACACGGTGAAGGAGTAGGGTCCAGGCTTGGTGTCGGTCCAACAGGAGGAGGGGCGGCCAATGAAGGATATCCTGTCGGAGGAGGACCCACCCTTTAGTGAGCTCAATGTCGTCTTCGGCAGATGATTGAGCTGTGGGCTGGGACTAAAACTACTGTGCAAATACTAATAAATCTAAGTGCAATTAAACCACCAGCTTGCCACATTCTTGGCGTGAGACGGACATCTGTAATCCTGACATCCAGACTTTCTCAAACAATACATGAACCAAAGCACACCCATCCCATAGAGGTGAACCTCTTCAGATTTTGACTATTGTGTAAAATGGCATGCAAAAAAAGTGTGCATTGGGTGAAATCTGCACTAAAGTTCTTGAGGACTTTATGCTAATATGCAGTAGAGGATTCAGAAGCATGGAAAGAAAGAGAGAGAGGAGAGAGGGAGGTGTGAGCTCTCAATGGTCATCACTCTTACCATCACCACCCCGGATCACGATAAGTGAAATTCAGATCCACCCTGCTAATTTGGCTTCCTGGCTTATTCTCTCCTCTCAAAAAAGTCCATCTTAGTAGGGTTAAGCTTACATGAAGATCCATCCCCTGCTTTCATTTTTCCTTTTATTACCTGTCCTTGCCTTGCCCATATACAGGTTGAGAAGAACAGCTCTCCAACTTGACCTCTTTGCACTACTTTCCTTTGCTAAGAATGTCATGCTACAGTTTTGCCTATGTGCACATTTAGGATGGCATGGACATTTGTACATGAACAGCTCCTGACTTGAGCAAGAGCTTTCTTTCCTCTTTTGTCTTTTTGCTATCCAGTCCTGTATGGTGTCCCTCCATACCCCTTGGGGGTGGGTGGGGGGAAGGTCCATAATTTAACAGTAGAGTGCAGTCATGTATTCTTCATGGTGGCCTGTGAGGATGTGGCTGGAAACACAGAAACCAGGGGGAAGCCAGGATAAGTAAGAAATCTTCTGTTAACAGTTACCACATGTTCCAGAGGTTTTATCCACCCCACGGCTAGACTGTCTCTTTTTCAGATTCCAGCAGGGAGGAAAGGGAATTGAAGAGTCTAGTCATCCCACTTGCCATTAATGTTGCTATCAATGTCTTCATCTCAGCTCTTTTTATGGTAATTGTGTGTATGTTTGCAACAGATTTTATATATGCATCTAGTTTTAATTCTATTGATGTTTAATCATTTTAAATGATTGTTCCCCCCCTATGTTTTTAGTGATCATTGTTTTTATCCGTAAGCCATCTTGAGTCCTGTCAAGGAAAAAATATATATGATGATGATGATTGGTGGAAGGAACCGTATAAGATATTTGTAGAGATAATCACATGCAGGGCTTTTTTTCTAGAAAAAGAGGTGACGGGGGAGCTGGGGGAACTTAGGGGGAGCTTTTTTGTAGGGGGCGCAGCCCGAGTTGTTCAGCTCCACCAACACAATGCTCCACAGGTGCCAGAACGCACAAAAGAGATGCCAGAACTCAGTTCCAGTGAGTTCCAGCTAAAAAAACAACCCTGATCATATGATATAACTTTGCCTTCTGCTGTTAGTTTCACACTTTCACTTGGCCTCAGGAGTTTGACCCAATGGCTATGGTACTTAGAGTGATCCTATTTCTCCTCTGTGATGCCTCCCCAACAACCTGGGAATCCCTTAAGAGATGAGGAATGTTAAGTTGTGGGTGAACATATCAGACAACACAGCGATTCTTCAAACAGCTCTTGTTTATTCACAGGCCAGAACAGAACTGAACTGAAGGGTTCAGCCAGCCTGCTTATACAGAGCTCTAGTACAACGTAACTGTAACAACTTTCTATAACTATCCAATCACTGAACATCACTTTCGATCCCTTATTTGCATATGTGGACCTGAGTGAAAACTACCTATAGTATCCCCCTGCTGGCCCAGGGTGAGAACTTCAGTACATAACAAGGAACCTCTCACATTCCAGATGTTACAGGTAGGTAGCCGTGTTGGTCTGCCGTAGTCAAAATAAAATTTAAAAAATCCTTCCAGTAGCACCTTAGAGACCAGCTAAGTTTGTTATTGGTATGAACTTTCACACGAAAGCTCATACCAATAACAAACTTAGTTGGTCTCTAAGGTGTTACTGGAAGGAAATTTTTTTATTCCAGATGTTGCTACATTACTTCTGTCATTCCTAACCATCACCCATGCTGGCTGTTAGACATCTGGAGAGTTAGAGGTTCCCATTCATGTCTTAAAATTCCATTGCACTGTTAATTCTATCCTTTGGGGAGTGTGAAATGCTGGTTGGAGACAATTTTTGTTCTGGGAGCTGAATTTTCTTCTTCTTCTGACATCCAATGGACAGGTTTGGTTGCCTTTTGTCTTGTTCCAAAAAAGCGCCTGCAAAGCTTGTTTGATCAGAGGTAACCATGAGACAAAAGATAGATGGGGACTCAGGGAGGGGGAGAGAGAGAAGAATGACTTCTCATTTTGTAAACCAGAGGAAATGATGCTTTCCTTAACTCTCTTAAAACACTGTTGCCTGTCTGCAGTCTTCGTCTTTTCAGCCTAAAGCTAAACTTATTCAAACCAACAAAAGCAGTCCCATTTAATTACACCGAGGTCTCAATCTGGTGAGTGGCCTCTTAGTTCAATAATTGAAAGCTCATTCTTTGTTTACCATTTTTTATTCAAGGCCTAATCATGGATGAAACTGAATAATTCCTTGAGACAACTTATCGACTTCCCATTTCATCCTCTGGCTCTCCCCACTCCCTCAACCCACTCTTTTTGTGTGTGTGTGTGGGAAGTCCTTCCCCACCTTTTTGCCCCAACATAATGACCTTGTGGAGTTCCAAAAGTTAAGTGGAACGCAGGGAAACATCCATTGTTCTAATCACAGCTGCTCCAAGACCATATTGTCAGTGAAATGACAAAGAAATTAGTAGCTCATTTTGTGCGACGTGAACTTTCTCTCTCTCCCCTTCTCTCTCTCTCTCTGTTTCTCTCTCGCTCTTGATGAGAACGCTCCCTTTGATAAATCAGCCATCATACCTTATTGCCATGCAGAGACTAGGGGAGAAAAAAAATGTCAACAACATTTCTTCCCCGAGTCTTCTGAAAGCAATCAAATTTCACTGCCACAAAAAAGGTAATGCTTAATTCTCTTGCACCCCCCCCTTCCTCTCTCCCGCCTTCGTTTCTTCGGCACAGAGAAAGTTAAAAGAGGACATATCTTTTCAAAGCTACAAAAATTGATTGGACTTGCAACAGATGAGGCTCCGGCAATGAATAAGATAAAGAGCGGATTTGGCACATTATTGCAAGAGGAGATCTCATCGGTGCGTACCATTCCCCGCCTTGCATACAGACTTCAATTAGCAGTTAAGGATGTGTTGAAATATGTTGAAGGAATTAGTCATTTCAGAGTCTTCAGAAGGGAAACTAAACTAGAGTGTGTTTGTAGTCAGCCAAAAAGAGGGGGGGAGAGGGGGGAGGAAGAAAGAAAAGAAATTCAGCAAGAACTAGCTGATTGGGCATTTGTGGCATCATTGGAGCGTCGAAAGAGCAGCCCAGTTGCAAAGATGTGCTGATTAGCTCACAGTTCCAGGACAGTAAAGACTGTTTTAAGGTCATAGAAATTGCAACCTACACACATCTCATTTTCTTGGGATGCCAGGGCGAGAAAAAGAAAAGATATCTACAGGAGAACCAAAGGGCAGTTGCCTCCGATACAGGTATATCCACCAGTCAACCATCACCCCAGCTCCCAAACCATTACACACTTACACATAGGTAAGTGTTTTTACATGTGATATTTCCAAATAGCCCTCCTGCTTGGTTCAAGTGTTATGAGTATTCTTCAACAGCTTTTCTATAAGTCTCGAATGACTTTACTCAGTTAAATGAAGGGTCATGTCTTGAGTAACCTAACTTGGGTCCAATGATTTGACTTGATGTGCTGTTGGTCTGCAATCTTGTTTCAGCTGTTCAGCCTTAATAATAAGTGGGCATTTCCCACCATGGATGCTGGGGTTCATCACCTTGAACTGACTCAGCTGGTATTCATCATGTAAGTACTCAAAAAGAGCTTTTTCCTTTCGGATTATAGAGAGGCATGCTGCTCCCATCCTGTTTTGCTCAAGGCAAAGTTGCATGTTGGAGTACAAAAGCTCCGAATTAAGATGGCATAGTCAAGCCAGGAATAATATTTGAATTAAAGAAAGGAAACCGGAGCAGCATGGGCTGTCAGCTGCACCCCGGGGAGCTGATTTGGGCCCCAGTTTATGGGGGCGCAGTGCGCGTGATGTCATGTTGTCATATTGTGATGTGTCATCATGATGTCACGCACTCTCCCTGACCTCGAAAACCTGACTTCTGGTGCCACTGGAAATCAGGTTCCAAGGCTTCGCAAGGCCTTTGATGTGACTTCTGGTGCTTCAGAACTTCCGAATGTTGCATCCGGGGCCCTGCGTTGTGGGTGCTGAGCACCCACAACAAACATTTTAGTCTCTTTCTTGCCCCTTTCGCCACTCTTGTTGATATTTCCTTTCAGTCGTGGATACTCCAGCAAGAAGATGCTTTTGACTCTTTGCAGCAAGTCCATCCCAAACCCATTACCCAAGCCAGACAGCAGATAATACCACTTCCAATTTCCAGAAAACTTGGAGACTTCGACTACTCCAATCCTCTGATGGCCCATCCCTAGACTCGGAAAGTCCAAATAACCATATAGAGGGTGTCAATCCATCCCCCATTTCCAAATCTGACCACATTTCATCTTTCCGAATCAGGTTTGTCCCAAGTTCATTTATCAAGTTCAAAGGCTGATCTTGCCCATCCATAGGTCCCTCCATCTCTGAAGCCTCCGTCGCTGCAGCAGGTTCATATACTTGTATAGACTTTAACTGAATTTCATTTGTTTGCTGCTGTGCTCTGGTGACTTCCGTCATCATCAAGGTCGACTCCTGACGCATCTGGTCCAGCTGGGCACTTAATTTTGCAAAACGTGGGTGCATGGGCACCCAGAGCCCTCTATAGTTGTCGCCCCTGCCTTCACCAAAAGAGGAAAGGGGGGGGGAGCCAGCCAGCAAAACCAAATCTGTCTTCTAACTATTCAAGTTTTCTCCCTGACTCTACTGTAACCCTTTCCTCCTTCAAAGCTACAACTAACTACACTATGTTGTGTTGTTTTTTCTTTTTTCAAATTCAACTTATATAGACTATTTTTATCCCCACTCTCAAACTCTGAACCAATACAGGTATATCCTTCTGAGAGATGTTTCTATTACCCCCCAGTTTCCAACTTTGTACACTGAAACTTTGTTCCAGCTGTGCAGAGCTTCTGGAAGAAAATATCCTGCTTTACCTTTGACTTCCCTCTGACATTTTGATCTATGCAGGAGAGGCCTTCCAGCAAAACAGCTATTTTACAGCCCAAGTTTTACTACCAAAAAACCAAACACAAAATGGTTGAAAGTCCTATTTCTTCACAGTAAGCAAACACAGTTAGTTAAGAGGATTCGATGTGAATTGTTTATTTACTATATTTATAGTTATATTCTACCTTTTAGTCATGTTACAATTTACAGTCACAGTGTAATCCTGTCTGGCACGGATCGAAGAGAAACATTATTTATTATTAGTATTAACAGTTTAATTGAAGAACATAAAATAAAAATAAAAAAGTAAGAGAGAGAGAAATACATCTCCATATATACGTAACTAATACATAGGTATTATTATTATCCAAATACATATATGTTTATTTTGAACCTACTGTATTTTGAAGCTACTGGATCATTGCATTCATTGGTTGCAAGTGTCTTCAATCCATTGATTAAATGCAGCCATATACTTATTAGATTGTGGAAAACTTGATCAAGTACACATTGAAAAGTTAGTGTACCTAATTCATACTTGCTGAAATAACATGTGAACTAAAACACAGCCATACTTCAAAATAGTTCTCTGAATTTTGCAAAACAATTCTCCATCCAAGAATATGACCAAAATGCACATACTAGTATAACATGTTCATACATGCACACATACCATATTCATAAAATCAATTAAGTAATCTTGAAAAAGAAAATCAGTAATTAAATAAGCACAATCCAATAGCAGCAGCACGAGTAGAATCAAAACTGAGCATGAGAATGTGCAAATCAACAACGGAAACCCAACAAAAATAACTTCCTGAAACCAAGTAAATTTGTATGCCTCTTCATAAAGGGAGGAATTTGCAAATAAATAGTGGACTGCACCAAAAAAAGCCCCACTTCTTTTGAGGGACCACTTGGCATCCACAAGTGATGATACCCACAGCATAAGTTCATTTGTTATATTTTACTTTAGATCATGTTTGGTAGTATTTGGGAGGTTGTAAATATCATGGCGCTTACCAAATCAACATAATGTTTTAGCAGATTCTTCTGTTATTGTTGCAGGAATTTGGGGTTTACATCAGCTCTATAGGCCAAATAACCAGGTCAGTTGAGTTGGTTAGGGGCTTCCCCACTCCCGAATTGAAGAACAATGGCAATACCCCTCCCCCCAAAAGGTCAGATCAGTACCACAACAAACCTTTCTGCTGTTCTTTCACTCTGTTTTTGGATTGCTCCTTGTTGTATTTCTTTATCTCTGCTGAGCTTTGTAAGAAATTGGGCTGTCCCAAGTGCTGCCTGCACTGGAGAGTTCAAGATTTGTGCTTGCAGTCAAAGCTCAGTATTGTTGTTGTAAGTTATAAGCTTCCATTTTGTTTATTAAAAAAAACCAAAACCCCTTCATTTCTCTGTGTTAAAAAAAAAGCAAACAAGTGCCGTTCTGTACTCCAAAGGGAACATTTTGGGCAGGCGATTGGAGGGCTATGCAGTCTATCAGAGGCCAGTGTGAAATGCCAATGGGAAGCTACAAAGTTACTGGTGACTGAGAGTGGCCAGCGAGACCATATGACACCGGTCCTGAAAGACCTACATTGGCTCCCAGTACGTTTCCAAGCACAATTCAAAGTGTTGGTGCTGACCTGTAAAGCCTTAAATGGCCTCGGTCCAGTATACCTGAAAGAGCGTCTCCACCCCCATCATTCAGCCTGGACACAGAGGTCTAGCGCCGAGGGCCTTCTGGCGGTTCCCTCTCTGCAAGAAGT